AATCGATTTGATATGTACTTCACGACATCGCATCTCACACACGTCACACAACTGATTTTTCGTACCGGAAGCGCACGGTGCCCCCCCCCCCCCCCTTTCGTCAAGAACAACCTGTAAGCTTTGTCTACGACACTTATCATTGGATCGTAAAAAAAATCGTCGACATGCTCGATGTATTGTTTTGATCTGTGTTTTTTGTCGCATCCGTGGTATGACAGATTATCCAAGAATTCAAGTGTATAAATTTCTCCTGCAAATCTTCGTACAAATGGCAGGACTTCCATCCCACCCTACACGACCACATTCCTGTATGTAGTTCAGTAAACTGTGGGCAAGACCATAATGGACTACAGATCGGACATAAGAGTAGTCAACTGCGTGCCCAAGACCACTAGTTGCCATACATGTGTGATTCCACCTTCTTAGCTGGTCGTTGGCGATCGTCTGAAGACATGCCACTGTGGTGGAATATAACATCAATACTCGTTCCAAATGAAATAAGTGTCGCGATTCGATCCGCTTCCTTCTTTGTCATTACGAAAATGATACATTTATCTGGATATTTTAGCTGTTCACGGATCAGCGCAAGGTTTTCTTGATTCATTTCAGCCGTAATTTTGCTCATCTTAACGGCATATTTAATATCAGGTCGCGTAGTTCGAAGACGAATTGTAGCAAACGAGAATCCGATACTCTCGGCTCTATCACGTTCTCACGACGGTAGCAACGTCGCTGTAAGGAGCACCATTTGAACCTTGAATCTCGAAAGAACAGCAGCAGAGTGCATACATTCTCGATAATGTTTAGATGTCATGATCATATAAACCTCGTCTAAGAAAATTCGCCACAGCTTTCGTTGAGGGTGAAGCGTGTTCACGTAAAAAAAAGGGGGGCGAAAACGCTGATAGTTGATGGCGCTCCACCTGACCAAACAGCAGAGAATATACATCCGTAAGTGGACTCATGTTTGGATTGTACACGGCACAGTGAAATGTTGAGTGCCCTGCACTTCTCAGCTGAATCGTTTAGAAGTGTAACAAGAGGGATTATCACTATAAGCAAACAATTCGGCTGGATAATGACGCAAGCTGGTACAGTAGTGATTCCCCCCTGTTTGTCGGTAGCACAACCAATATATTTGTCACGCTCAATGTGATCAACGCTAC